TTGTTTGTTTGTTTGTTTGTTTGTTTGTTTGTTTGTTTGTTTGTTTGTTTGTTTGTTTGTTTGTTTGTTTGTTTGTTTGTTTGTTTTTTAGTTTGGGGTTATTTTGGAAAGGCTATTTTTAATTGCAACTTGTTGGGCTAGACAGGAAGTCTAAAATAGTCTACTGCTCGTGATATGAGGTTTAAAAGAAATTGCAAGGCATTTATCACCTTTCTTCATTATAACCTGCCGGAATTTTAGGGCTAGTAGAGCTTTTTTCAGTGTGTCTATAGTGGTCGTCTTGGAAACTGAAGTCATTGCCATCTGTCTGTTTTATTGTTTTTGTGGAAGTTCTAGCATTCTCTTTCATATGTTTCATGATATTTAAGTAGAAAAATGTGATTCTTTGGCTTTGCAATAGCAAATCAGACGCGAGTTGCTAGAGTCTCAGCTGAAAGTGGTGTCACTCCAAGATATGTCCTGCCAACTGCTGGTCAATGCTGAAGGCAAGGACTGCCTGGAAGCTAAAGAGAAAGTCCATGTCATTGGAAACAGACTCAAGCTCCTACTGAAGGAGGTCACACATCACATCAAGGACCTAGAGAAAATCTTAGACATCTCAAGCAGTCAACTGGTAAATTGTCCTATTGTATTCTCTCCTTTACCACTCATTGAGGGCTAGTTTTGTAATCACACTGACCTTTTTCAGATGATCAGCTGTAAAATACACTATTGGCCATTATTTTGTTGCTTAGGACTGTGATGCCTGACTAAGTGGTATGGAACTGTTATGAAATCTCCTTCGTAATTTGTACTGTCCAATAACTTTCCTGTCTCTGAGACAGCAATTCATAAATTCCACGGCCAGACAGGACCACTGTGATCATCTAGTCTGACCTCCTGTGTTACATAGGCCAAAGAACATCCCCCCAAAAAATTGCTACAGCAGATCTTTTAGAAGAACATCCTATCTTGCTTTAAAATCGCCAGTGATAGAGAATCCTGCATGACCCTGGGTAAACTGTTCCAGTCATTAAATTACCCTCACTGTTAAAAATTGGCATCTTATTTCCAATCTGAATTTGTCTGTGTTCAACTTCAGCCTTGGCTGCCTACTTTGCTGCCATTGATTCAGTCAACTGGCAGAGTACATGGGGTAGCTACTGTAGCTGCAGTATCTGAACCTGTGGCATGTGAGTTATTTCCACAGAGTAAACAGCATCTACTTTCCTATTGACATACTAATGAAAAAGCTTGAAATAAATTCTCTAGTGTGCTAACAAAGACCCTGTTTGTTTGTGTTTTCTTAGCTTTGGAAGTGTATTCCATAGCAGCACAAGTTCTCTTGCAGATGAGAGTTGGGAATGTTATGCTTGTGTCTTCATTGTACCTGCCCCAGTCACATAGAAGACTTTAACACTCTCCATTGTTTTCAGTCCCTCCTCTTGTAGTCCCCAAAACCTGAATTAGCACAAAGTATGAAGAATGTGATCTGTTTTCAATCTGTCTAGTGTCTATCTCTGTCTCTATCTGTATAAAGTGATGTCTGGGATTCTAGTGGGAATTTTCACTGAGTACACAACACCTCTTTACCTTTTAAAAACCAATAAAGAGCCGTCGTTTTCTTGGTACTGCCTTTGCCTTACCTTGGGCAGTTAAATGTTCTTTCTGGCAGCATATTTGTTTGCCTGTCTTTCTCTTCAGATCCTAACATGTAATTTATAGTGATTTAATCCTACAGATTTGCGTAAATTTAAACCTCCCTTTGTCATATTTCAAGGATCAGTAGTGCAAAGCACTCTGCTAAAACCAAGGATTTCATTCCCTTTTTCTGAGTGTGGTTTCCTTGGCAGATTACTTATGTTCTTCTAATCTCTTATGATTCTGAACTTTAGGATTTGTCTTCATGGTCCTCAGCTGATGAACTGGACACTTCAGGATCACTCAGTCCTGTATCTGGAAGAAGCACACCAAGCAGACAGAGAACGGTAATTTCATGCCAGATACCTTCTATCACCTCTTGGGCGGGAGCACCAGATATTTACAGTAGCTGGAGCCAGATGAGAGGTCTACACCGTCTCCCTGATAGGAAAGAAAAGGGCACAAACCAAGAATTCCCCTCAAACAAAGCTGCTTCCCCAACCCTGCTGCATCTCTCTCCCTGCATGAAATCAGAATTAGAAAATGCTCTGTATAAAATCTGGGCTCAAAGTGTGGCTGGAGTTTTGTGGTATGGCGCACACTCTCTCTTGTGTTCTGTTCAAGCGATGGCAGCATCCCAAGTTCTGGTCTTGTCCCAGCACAGTTGCAGCCAATCCCTCTGCTTTCTACCTGGCATCCTCTGCAGAGCTGCTTTGTCAAGAACCTCAATAAAACTTTCTTTTCATGATCGATTAAAACTGTAGCTGGAGCCAGAATTTTATTGAGACTTTGGATGAGAGGCTGCATAGAAAGCTTATAAGGCATTGGCAGAAACACTGGAACAGAACCTGATCAATGGCTGTGACAACAGCTCTAATGTTTCATGTTGTCACCACTAGAACACAAAACAAGAAATGCAGCACGCCATGCTGCACTCTGCTTCTCCACACTTTGATCCCTGTATGGAACTGGAATTTTTGTCTTTCTTTACAGTTCTTTTGTTTGATTTATTTTAATTATTATTCAGTTTTCCTTAGTTCTTAACTATCGATTTTTCATTTGCACTTTTATAAAACATCTGAGTTCTGTCCTGATGAACTTTGTGGTCTCTTGAAATTGATCTTGCTACATTCACTAGTTTTCTTTAGATCCTAGTTTGAGAATGTAAAGGAATACTGGCTTTTCAAAAGGGTTGAGAACAACATAAAACATCATTTTATTTCTGGAGTCATTAATTTCATATTTTTATTAGCCACTTTTTACAAAATTACTAATAAAAGTCATGATACCATAAACTAGAAGATGCCTGCACACTGCAGAAAGTGATAAAGTAATTTACTATAGCAAACTTTGGCTAAAGAATTGGTAGAAATGTAGTATGCCTCATATTAACCTTTTAATCTGTATTTGTTCATGTCTAATACAATACTGTGGTTTACATACATTATTTGCTTCATTTTTGTCCATAATGTACAGTGTAAGATGAAAGACTCCTGAGGGCCTCCCTTTTTGCATCTGTAATTTTGGAAACAAAAATTGATGTCTCTTAAATTCTAATGCCAAGCACATCACCAGTGCTATATCTATAATAATTGCCTACCATCCAGAGACTTTCAGCTAGTTAACCTTCTAAGCTTCATTAATTATGCTGGGAAATAATTGCAAGTGCAGTAATGCACCCACAGTTATTTGGCCCTCAAAATTATGGGTGGAAAGAGGGAAGCCAGACTTTTTAAAGGTGACATTTGGAATATAATTTTTAATGTTCTACAGAACATTAATTTAGCTGCAATTAAATATAAATACCCTTAAGTGCATCTCTTTCAATAAGATGAATTAATTCATATCTCATGTAACAAATTACTTGAGCTAAAAAAAATTTAACACTCTTTTATTTTTTTATTTTTTTTGGTACCAAGCCTAGTATGATTTTAATTTTAATGATTAAAACATTCTGTCAAGTTCCTTTTGTCTGTTCAAAGCATTTTCATATTCCGCTCGAAGCAGAAGAAAAGCCAGTTTCCTTGGTTCATGGGTATTGGTCACTTCATTTGATTTTATGTTTCCTTTGCTGCACTTTTAATTTGATTTCATCAGTAGCTTGTCTTTATTTGCCTGGACTGAACATTCTTCTTTCTTTACCCCCTGTTCATTGCAAACAGCCACGGGGCAAATGTAGTGTCTCACAGCCTGGACCCTCTGTCAGCAGTCCACACAGCAGGTACCTTATTCTCCTGGTTTCCGCACTCTGTTCTAGAATTCCAAGAGGATGATGGAAATTGCCCATGATGTCCATTAAGTGTCTCTCCACACTTAATCTGTCAAAGGGACAGGAATTAACCATTTCAAGTGCAGAGTTCCTTTGTAAGCAGGATTCAATTATTACAGCCAAAATATCTGTAAATAGAAATATCGGGTAATTCTTGGAATATACAGCTTTTGCTTCCCATTAGCATCATTTAAATTTAAATTTATTTTATTTATTTGATCACATGGGTGTTTGTTTACATTCATAATATTGCTTGTTACATTAAGACCTGATCAGCAGATACACCATGAGGTTCATGGCAAAGACTTTTTATCATCCTCTTTATTTCTAGATATTAAATTAAGGCAGGTATTAGACCAATACAATATTTTAGAATTTGTAAAACCCACAAATCTGAAGAAAACACACTAACATCCTCTCTCTTTTTTTTTTTTAATTTTTGTTAATATTTTGTTCAGTTTGTGGGTTTTCAGTTCTCATCATTCAGAATGAAAAGTCTAGAATTTGAGAATTTTCATCCTAAAAATTGGTAGCATCTTTTCTCTCTGCAATCATAGAACTTCTTTGCAGATATTACACACTGACATTAATGTGACACTTGACAAGTGCTTGCATCCACTATCACTCTAGGAGCAGCGCTGCCCCATTTCTGGACGACCACTAGAGAGCAGACTTGCAGCTGCAGCTTTTTGCTTTCCACCTTGTCTCCAGCAATCTGTCATCTCTGCGGCTAACAGTGCTTCTGCATTCTCTGTTGTTGGTGTGATGTGTGTGTCCCTTCACCCTTTCACTGATCAGTTCACTTTGCCCTATAGAAGAAACAAAAAAATGTTTTACAAAACAAAAATATATATTAACATTGTAAGGTACAGGCCCTGTCCCATTCAGCATCTAGTGAGTTGCAACAAAAATTTAAAATTATATTGGGGGGTGGAGGAGGAAGGAGGGGAAATATATATGGAACTGTAATCAAACTTACACTTTCTTTGTCATCTGTGTAGTAAAATTGAAATCCATTAAAATAGTTCTTGTTCAAATGCAAGAAATTATAGGTTTGAAGCAGGGCCAAAATAGATTTATACAGTGATTGAGCAATGGTCAGGCATTCAAAAAAACTTGAATGCACTTTGTACTTGATGACCTTTATTCCATTAAAGACAAACCATGCTTTTGCTCAACAAAGCAACAGTGTGAAATATTGGGGGAGGGGGGAGGAGCAAAAACTGCTAGCATTTAGAACTAGTCAATATCCAAATTATTTCCAAGTAATATTTGCAATGTTTTAAATGTGTATAGAGATTCAGTTCATGACTTTAGCTGTACCAGTTCACAATCAAAATCCAAGTGATGTATGGTAGGTAGAACGTTTAGTCTTCCAATGCTTCCAAGAAAGTCTATTGCTTGGTTGAAAAAACAGTAAAATAGCATACAGAATAAGTGATGTATACTTAAACAGGTGACCGCAATTCTCTGTTCTTCTCTCAAATGGAGACTCAGGGAGAATTTTTCTACCTCCAGTCAGTATAGGGCTTGGCATTCTGTTTCTTATAGAAAGGGGGAAGGGGAGATTGGAAACTTAATCTATGACCATTAACAGCTAAGCATATGTCTTTTATGAACCTGTCTGAAGAACAACGTTTAAATCAGGCAGATAAGCATGCTTGCACTAGCAACACTGAACTAAAGGAATATGTTGTGTCTGCTCCTCTGCTCCCCTTTACATGCCCAGCCACACATGCACCCCTTTGAGAAGGCTTCTGTGTTGTGGGGTGAGCGACTGGCCCAGCGTGCGTCTTAGCAGCGCTTTGCAGCTTTGGGATCAGCCCACATGCTAACAGTGGCATCTGCGCGGCACCTCTCAGATCAGCTCTCTTCAGCACTGTATATTAACACATCTCATAGCTGTTCAACACAATATTCAATTTGTCATTCAGACAAGCGTGGAATACAAATGAGTTACTACTGAATGGGAAACTTAGTCAAATGCGCAAGCCAGACAGGTTGTGGTTGATGTGTAACGTGGTTTTAACTGATAAAGCAGTACAAGCTGTCACTGTGTTCTTTAATATTTTGACATGCCTCTGATCAGAGTATTTCGTGTTTGATCTTGCACTGGATCAGCAAACCCTAATAGACTATAGTGTAAGGGAGAACCAAAGAGAAATTAGACATTTTTATCCCATAGGATTTTGCAATGGAAAGTTACTTACTTTAAAAATTAGAGGGTCAGTGGGGTTTTATATTAAGCTTGATGACATTTTGCCTTTCCATTATCATAACAAATAGGTTAACATATTTACTGTATCCTGTTCATTTGTCACATAACCCCTGTCTGTTTAGCAAGATATCCTCCCAGATCTCCACGATTACAGTATGGCATGAATCTGTTTTGCCAGGCAGTACAAGCTGTTGCATGCTAATTAGGAAAAGCAAATCCCCAAAGTGCATTTTCCCCTAGGCAGCTAACATAGCTTTCAGAAAATGCACACCTGGACCTATGCCTGCCTGCAGATTTTTTTGAAGTGATTAAAATGTTAAAAAGACCAAAATAATTGTACAATTTGCATCAGTGTGTTTACATTGTCTCTCTTGAGTAGCTTTATTCAAGTTCTGGCGCCACTGATTCAGTCCCCACTTCCTAACACCACCACCCCACCTCCACCCCGAATCAAATAGCAAATTTATAAACTCACCTTTAATTCTTGAACCAAACTAGGCCACAGGATTCTTACTGGCTTCGACTGCATAATAGCAGGCAGTGTAAGTGTACTGATTAGACCTAGAGATTTGGGCTCAGATCTCCACGGTTCTGTTCCCAGTTCTGCCACTCACTCTTGACTTTGGACTTGTCAGTTAAACTGCCTGTTTAACCACCTGTAAAATGGATATATTAATCTTCTTTACAATATAAGCGAGCTAACTTTGGGGGAAGGAGGGAGGCAGAGTAGCCAATGTAGAACATGCAGTAGCAAAGAACAACTAATTTAGCTGCATGCTGAGCAGTAAGGTGAAGATACACTGGAGCTGAAATGAGAATTCCCCCTGTTCATCTGGTAACCCTGCATGATAGTTTAACTTCCGCCTACCAGCTAAGCTTTTCAGAAGAGACGAGTAGAGCTCCAGTTCTCCAGACTTCGCAAACTCCATAGGTGAGGGATTGGACTGCTTTATGTAGCTTAAGGTCAAGTCATCAGAGCTCTTGCGCAGATGACTTGGTTTGACATTAGGAAACATGCAGTTGGTCAGATTTGCAGCTGTGCCTTCCACAATATCTAGTCACTAGAATCTATTTAAGGGAGTAAAGAACAATTGTGAAGTGGTCTGATTTCAGTCCAAACTGAGCAGCTGTCAGTGTGACAAATGGCAGAGCGGTCTGAAAGAGAAGGCAGGGAATCCATGGGCAAGAGAAACGAACTACGCTTGCCCCCAAAAGTAATATACTGTGTAGCATTTGGGCCCAGTCCCCACCCACTGAAATTGATAGGAAGTTTTCCATTTACTTCAATAGCGCAGCGGGTCTTTGGTTGCAGATGTTACCATTTAATCACCCCTTTTCACCCGCATTAAACACTTTGAGCTGCGTATCCAGTTTTCCATCACTATTAATGTGTTCATTATGGTATGAGTAAGTGTGATAAACATCAGTTATGTCGCCAAAGGAATATAGCGCTTGAACTTTTTAAAACAGACCCTTTGAAGTAGTTTCCTACAGAGGCAAATGTTTCATTATTCACTTCTTGGATCATTTCCATACAGTATTAACCCGTTAATGTTTACAGCCCTGCTCTACTACTACTATATTTCAGAGCACTTTTCCAATAACGGCATTAATGCTTCAGAGAATTAACTAGGCCCGTCATCGAGAGCCTCCATACACTTCCCACCACCACCTTTTACTTTGAATGTTTTTATGTTTTTCAAGAAATACAGAAACAAAATCGGTGGTGCATTTCTGCTGCCATAGTCTTGAGAAGAGAGGAAAATTACTAGTTGAACAAGCCCACTCCTTTGATCTGTCTCTTGGAAATTCCCTTAGAGACCCTTTTGGTAGCCCCAGAAAAACTTTCAGGTGACATTCAGGTCACTGGATAACTATTTAAAAAAAAAAAAAAAAGACTCCGCTTTCCACATCATGATCATTAACCCCAATGACGAGTGGACACTCTACAAAACGTGGCATCTGTTGATGAGCTGTAAGCAATAGTATTTATGCAAAAAGCCACGTAAGTAGGTAGACTGTGCAGCGAAATGCTTGGAAGGTAATTAAGCACTCCATGTTCCTATTGTTCCTACCTCAGCCCATTAACTCTCTGTGTTGGCATTCTTAGACAGTGGAAGGCCTGGTCTAATTGAACTTTAATATGGAATGCTCTGATGCTGTTAAATGTGCCATGTCCTTTCATTGCGTTCTATATAATATATGATCTTACATGATGCAAGAATAAGCAGCTTTCCATTCTGGCTCCAGTGCTGTGGATTTAAGCAATGTGTAATCTTTTGTTTTGATCTTGACCTCTTGACCTAATCATCCCAGTAAGTTAATCATTTAGTGGACCCGAATATTCAGCTCTCCATTAGACAACTAAACATAACCAAAAGCTGCCTGGCTTCATTTGAAGTCTTCAGCATGGGAAGACATCTGTAGATAAGTGAGCTAGTAACAATAAATGATGTCCTCCAGTAAGATATTAATAATTGGAGAACTAGTTCCTTTGGTGATCCAGTAGGTACAAGGGAGGGTATAATTTCATGGCTATGTAACCAACATTGCCATCAAGACAAAGGTAATTCTGAAGATGGCTTCTCATCTTTGTGCTGTTTTACAAACGTCTTTCTACCTCCTTAACCTCAGTACACCATTGTGTTCTCGCTGAACTGTAATCAAATTACTGTGAGACTTCCATATCAGATAGACACTTAATAATAAAAAGAACTGAAGCAAGATTGAAGTAGGCTGCAATATTAGGAGATAGCTTGAGAACCATTAAATTCCCCTGCATTTTAGTACTTGCCAAAACACACTACCTTTTGGTGCCACATAATTAATGTATCTAAATCATTCTCTTTGGGTTTTTTAACCTTCAGGCTTTATCAACCCATCTAACTTCTAAGAAGCCTTTCGGTAGGTCACCCATGTAGTAGTTTTCTGACAGGTTGGGTCAAAAGGACAAAATGGGAAGGTTTGTGCAGAGGTGCTGGAACAGTTTTTATAGTGGGGGTGCCAAGAACCATTAAACCAAACTGTAAACCCTGTATATGATGGAAACCGCTTGAAGTAAGGGGGTGCAGCAGTACCTCTAGTTCCAGCAACTGTGGGTTTCTATCAAAATGGAATTCAAACTGTATCCAGTGCTAGAAAGGAGAACTTCCATGTTACAGGGAAATCTAAAAACTTCAGTCAGAATTTTCAAATGTGGGTACCTAAAATTAGGCATCTAAATTGATAGCCTGATTTTTGTTTTTCAGAGATGCTGAGCTCCCACATCTCCCATTGATTAAAAAATTGCTATGGATTTAGGTGCTTAACTTCAGACATACAGGTTAGAAAATGTTAACCTCAAGGCCTACCTCCCCATCAGATATTGAGAGTAGGCTGTGACTGCCGTGCTAGTAATAGGTTTTTCATAGAAAGACAGCAAGGAAATAAGTTACACAGAAAGGGTAAGATGTCCATTCAAGTTCAGGAACTTTAACTTCTGATTCAGTGCAAAATGAAACTATGCTGTACTCTGTGGACACTGAGATCCCTTTAATCCAACACTGGCATATTATTGCTCTAGTTGCATGACTCATCATGATACTTCCTAAAAGGAAATGCAGTTGACACTTAAAGCAATGGGGTTTCCCTTCTAGACTGTGTGCAGATATTGACTGAGTCAGCAGCTGACATGATAGAATATATTTTGTCTTGTCTAGAGAGTACAATCCATTCATTTTTTCACATGGAAAATGTTTCATGCAATTAAGTAAGAATGATGGCACTTGAGCTGCCCATGTGCTATTCTTTTTGATTGATCAGATGTTTTTTTTTCCAATCCCACCAGTGCTAAACAGTGACAGTGTCAGGGTAATGGCATATTCAGTATAAAACACCTCTGGCATTTGTTAATGATAGGATTTGTACTGGTTTTAAAATTAATGCTCCAGGAAGAGTTGTTGTATTCCAGAGAGCAGTGTCCATTTTGATAAGGCTTCTGTTTATCCTGTATTGATTTCTTTTCTCAGGTCCATAAGAGGTGGCTCAGATTCCTCCCATTCTGAGACACTGGCAGCTCAGCAGCACCCATCCTTCTTCCTGAGAGTCCTCAGAGCTGCTCTACCACTTCAGCTTCTTCTGCTGCTCTTGATTGGTCTTGCCTGCCTTGTACCAGTAACTGAGGAGGACTACAGCTGTACCCTATCAAATAATTTTGCCCGGTCCTTCCACCCCATGTTAAGATATACTAATGGCCCTCCTCCTTTATGAAGCAGTAGAAAGGCTATTAAAGTTGGAGAAGCATGTCAGGAAATGGGCCTGTTTCAAATGTCAATGCACTCAACATGGCAGCTTTATCTATCTATTGTAGCCAATGTTCCCATATCATTCTGCTGGCACTAAATTAATAATGTATCCGTACCAAAATGTGTAATGCATTACGTGAGTAATATCCTTTCAAAACTCACATCCCTGGCACTAAGAAGGCTATGAAATAAGTGAGGGAATTTTCTTTCTATCCAACATTCTGGATCTTCTGGCCACTTTATATCTGGGTCACTGCCCTGTGCTGTGCATAGCCCAAGGACTTTATACTGTCGAGAGAACCTCTCCTGTGTACGGCTCTGAATGAGCTGTTAGCCGATCTTTGTTAAATATATTATCAGTATCTAACAGTATTCAAACGAACCAGTGCTAAGGACATTTGAAAGACTTTGTAACATACATTTTTAAAGAGCTTGTATGGCAATGTACTATTTTTCCTTGGTTTTTGTTTTGGGCGTGGCGTTCTAACCTTTTCTTTGGATGCACAGGCTGTAAATCTGAAAGGCACTTTTTTAAGGTTTAAAAAAATGGATGTAATAAATAAGATCATGGAAGGTTTTATGAGAAAAAATATTGAGTATCAAGTATAAAAAGGAACCTATTTATGTATGTACAGTTTGCTAAGCCAAGTTTTGTTTGTAATGATTTCTTTGCATTTATTATAGATACCATACAATATTTTGTCTACGTGCTTTTTAATGACAATTATAGAAACCTGTACGTTTAGAATGAGAAATGTATGGTAAAAACAATTATAAGATCATGTATATGCTGCAATTCTCAAAGAAAAAAGTAAAATAAAAAGAAATGCTGTAATAATGAATTGTAGCAGGAATCTGTGGGAATGGAAAGACGTTGCAAAATTGCTGCAGAACAGTATGAGTTGGGAAAGTATACAGTTATAGACTCAGTGATGAATATAAAAAGCTGTTTAATTATGAATTAACATGTGGAAACTCCAGATTTTTCTAATATGTTTCTTACAGTCCATTTTTCCCAAACTGTTAGATTTATGTGTATATATGCTGCCTCCCATACTCCAGTTATTATTATTACCAGTCAACATTGAAGAAGACTGTTTTTTGAGAGTTGAAAACATTTAAATCTTCTCCATAGCAGCTTGATATAGACTGACATTAAGACTGATATTTATGCTAGACCAATAGCTGAAGTATTGTCATGGAATATACCCAACACACAAGCATAAATAGCAGAAAAACAGAACAGAATGAAAACTCATAAATTTCCCAGAAACATTACAGCAAACTCACTCTCTGAGCAGCGGCAGGCACTTCACATAGCTTATGAGTCATAACTTAACCAAAACAAAATTCTTTTCAAGTTTGAGAAATTGCAGAGTGTTGCCCTAAAGTTATCTCTGGTTTAATAAGTTTTTTCTGTTTAAAAAAAAAACCCATTACACATACTGTATATTTTCCCATTAATTTTAGGAACAAATGTTTTCATTTAAAGAGAGAATAGACTGGAGTGTGTAAGCAGAAGCAAAGAGGCCCTGTTTTTGCTGAGCCTGGAGAAAACAAAACGACTTGCATTGTTGATGCTTCTTGGGATTGCCTTTCTGGGTAGCAATGGTTTGAATTGAGACTGATTAGAATTGAGCTATTGAGGCCAGTCAGGGAGTTCATTAAAATTATCACCAGTAGGCATCTGAGTTAACATGTGGGGCAGTTCATAAATCTCAGAGCAATTGTTCTTGGGCAGATGTCACTGAATTGGATACAGTGGATTTGTGTTTTTTGAAGGTTTCTTCACAGCCATAAGGATTAGAGGAAAGCTAAAAAGGAAAGCTGAGATTGTGAAGCACGAGATGGCAACGCAGGCAAGGAAGCCAGCAAATGTTATCTGAAAGCAAGCATACAGCCTGAAATTAATAAACAGCATTAAAGTTTTATCTTCAAGGAGTTCACCAAAGAAGGTGCTAGGAAGAGTACACAGACAGCCTCAGCTGTGACTTCCTAGGGATCCGTACATTCTAATGTACATGAATTAAAAATTAGAGGGAAAAAAAGATTATTTAAATAAAGTCTTATACAGGAGGCAATAGGTAAGAAATTAAGCCTTAAATTAGCCTGTCAGGTGTAGATAGGTGAGCACCTCTCACATTCTCAAGTGGAACAGATGTTTAGAACAAGGTGGGCTCTTAGTCACTCCCATGATTTTCACTATCATTTCTGTTTTGCCAGCTCGGAAACCTGTCTCTCTACCCTTTCTACACACTGTCACATCTTTCTCCTGCATCTCGAACCACTAGCACAAACTCTCCATTCAAAACTGAACTTCCTGTCCTCCTACCAGCCTTTCCCATCTGGTTGCAGCTTTGCTATTCTCTGTGTCCTCGAGGTTTGAAAGCTTCTCATCCTTGGCTCCCCTCCTCATTCAGTTTCCTTACTGCTTACTCCACAATACCTCTGAATGCTGGGGCCACTTGGGCAAGGCTGGTGTATGGTGACTGTGCAGGAGCCTCTGTCTTTCAAATCGTCTGCGGGAGCTGAGCCTTCCACTACAGTATGGGAGAAGCCAGCAGGGACAGTGAAGCCTTCCAAGAGTGCCCTCCCTCCCCCATTCTCCAAGAAGGGGAGAAGTGTCAGTATCTTCAGAGAAACTTCTTGGTTTGCAGGGACTTTTCACTATGTTTAGGGCATCTCTTGATTGGTTCCTCTGGCCTTTAACTCCCAACGCCTGGGCTACGGGGGTCGGGGGTCGTAGACTATGGAGAAAATCAGAAATGTGGAGGGAAGAAGGGGTGAAATGGAGACTGGCCAATCCTGGTTATCATGGAGAGGGAAGGAAGGTAGGAGGGGGAACTATTAGGAAGGGTACAAAGTAGGGCTGCCAAGCGATTAAAAAAATTAATCACAATTAGTCATGCTGTTAAACAATAATAGAATACCATTTATTTAAATATTTTTGGATGTTTTCTACATTTTCAAATATTGATTTCAATTACAACACAATACAAAGTGTACAGTGCTCACTTTATTTTTTTATTACAAATATTTGCACTGTAAAAAAACAAAATAAATTATATTTTTCAATTCCTCCATTGCAAGTACTGTAGTGGAATCTTTTTATCATGAAAGTTGAATTTACAAATGTAGAATTATGTAAAAAAAAAACCTGCATTCAAAAATAAAACAATATAAAACTTTAGAGCCTACACATACACTCAGTCCTACTTCTTGTTCAGCCAATCGCTCAGAAGATAATGCTGCCCACTTCTTGATTACAATGTCACCTGAAAGTGAGAACCGGCGTTCACATGGCACTGTTGTAGCTGGCATCACAAGATATTTACGTGTCAAATGTGCTAAAGATTCATATGTCCATGCATGCTTCAACCACCATTCCAGAGGACATGCTTCCATGCGGATGACAGATTCTGCTCAATAACGATCCAAAGCAGTACAGACCGACACATGTTCATTTTCTTCATCTGAGTCAGATGCCACCAGCAGAAAGTTGAATTTTTTAATTTTTTTTTTTGGTGGTGGTTCGGGTTCTGTAGTTTCTGTATTGGAGTGTTGCTCTTTTAAAACTTCTGAAAGTATGCGCCACACCCCATCCCTCAGATTTTGGAAGGCACTTCAAATTCTTAAACCTCCAGTCAAGTGCCGTAGCTATCTTTAGAAATCTCACATTGTTACCTTCTTTGCATTTTGTCAGATCTGCAGTGATAGTGTTCTTAAAACAAACAATATGTGCTGGGTCATCATCCAAGTCTGCTATAACATGAAATATATGGCAGAATGTGGGTAAAACAGAGCAGGAGACATACAATTCTCACCCAAAGAATTGAGTCACAAACTTAATTAATGCGTTTGTTTTTGTTTTTTTTAACAAGTGTCGTCAGCATGGAAGCATGTCCTTTGGAATGGTGGCCAAAGCATGAAGGGATATAAGAATGTTTAACATATCTGGCATGTATATACCTTGCAATGCTGACTACAAAAGTGTGAACACCTGTTCTCACTTTCAGGTGCCATTGTAAATAATAAGCAGGCAACATTATGTCCCGTAAATGTAAACAAACTTGTTTTTCTTAGCGATTGGCTGAAAATGAAGTAGGACTGAGTGGACTTGTAGGCTCTAAAGTTTTACATTGTTTTGTTTTTGAGTGCAGTTATGTAACAACAAAAAATCTACATTTGTAAGTTGCACTTTCATGATAAAGAGATTGCACTACAGTACTTGTTTGAGGTGAATTGAAAAATACTATTTATGTTTATCCTTTTTGGAATGCAAATACAAAAAACAAAAATAATATAAAGTGAGCACTGTACACTCTGTATTCTGTGTTGTAACTGAAATCAATATATTTGAAAATGTAGAAAAATATCTAAAAATATTTAATAAATTTCACTTGGTTCTATTGTTTAACAGTGCGATTAAAACTGTGATTAAGTATTATTAATTTTTAATAGCGATTAATTTTTTAGATAATTGTGTGAGTTAACTGCAATTAATCAACAGCCCTAGTACAAAGGAATAGTTTTTAAAAAGAATTGTAATAAAATAAGTGTCATCAACCTCAGTTTGATCCCTTGTTGCTCCACTTACTCTATTATTTGTCATTATTTGTTATGGGCTAGATCTACTTTAGGTATCTAAATCCAACAGTTAGGCACCCCTGAGATCCTCAAAACCCTGCCGCTTAACCCTGGAGGTGCCTGAATTCACTGCAGGTGGGCATGTGCAAAGCTGCCTAAATCCTCATGATGCTGAACAGTTCCGTATCCTATCTCAGGGCTAAGCCCTGGTGAGATTCTCAAACGGGCCTACCTCAGAGTGTGCCTGTTGGATCCACAGAAGTGTTGATACAATAGCCCAGTGGTTAGGAGGTAGGAGGCCTGTTTTCAGATCACCACTCTGACTGATTTGGAGCAAGGAATTGAAGCCATGTGAGTGCCCCAACCACTGGAAATTATTCCAGGTTGGAGTCTCTCTCAATCTCTCCTGTGAAGCTATTCCACTTTGTACAAACAATTTAAAAGGCATTGGAGCACTGATTTGAATCTGGGTCTCCCGCAACCCCACTGGGCTATGGGTTATAATGGGTGTGGGGACTGGGGGGGCTGGAACAATTTCTATAGTGAGAGCCATTGAACCCAACTGAAACCCCAGCACCCCTAGTTCCAGCACCTATTGTGGGGAACTCTCTTTCTCTCGCTCTGGTGTGTGGTTGGTTGGTTGGTTGTTTTTCTGTTGTTCTTAAGAAAGGGCTGAACTGGCTTAAGCATGGAACTCTTTGGGAGATGATTCATGGCTGAGAATCCTGAGCAGAGGGAGGGGCCTGCTTCCAGCCTGTCAACCAGGTGCCTAAGGCCCAGATTAATGAGAGTTAGGTGCCTAACTACCTTTGAGAATCTGGGTGCTTAGCCCTGCCCTTTTCCTCAGCATTTCATTCCTAGATAACTTAGCCAGCTCCTTGCTCGGCTTGTTGGCTTCTGAGGATCCCTTCCTTAGGCACCCATTTCTCCCCATACATTGTATGAAGAGCCTGGGCACCTACCTCAGGACTGAGTATGCCCCTGGGCAGCAGGGTGCCTTGCAACACCAAAGTACCTTTGTAAATCTAGCCCTATGTGGCCATACGCTGCCTAGTGCAATGGGGATACAAACAGGATTGAAGCCTTTACAAGCGAACATAAAATCTGCCCTTTCCATCCCTATGGTCAAATTGCTGGCCCATGTCTTGATTGCCTCTCCCCTCTATTACTGCCCTCTCAACCGCTTTGGCCTCCTGCTGCCTCGCCCCTCCAATCCACTCAACTGTTGCAAATAA